CATTTTAACCGATGTAAAAAGCCTTTTTAACCGATCAGAAAGCCCATTTTAACCGACGTAGAAAGCCCATTTTAACCGCTTTTGCTTTCTTGTTTGCTTTACTTAAACTGTGATGATTATTTTCTTGTTTACTTTATAATTGTATTCGTTACATAAAATAATTATTTTATATAAGAAATGAGAGAGAAATAACTATTGTCTAAAATTTTACGTTTATTTCATTTATAATTTATAGATTAGGCTTTTAATTTCACACTAGTAGGAAATATTATATATTGTGCGATATATATGTTGTTAATTTTATGTATATTATTTTGTAGTTAATACAAGTTTATTTTGACATAGTAGTTTTTAGGATTTTTATAGTGGATTTCACAAATAAAAATGTTAAGATTTAATATTTTATTTTACTCAAAAAAGAGTTTATTTGCTTGGTTGGGTTAACACCATTAGTAAAGATAAATATGACCATTTTTAAGACAAGTGTTTCATTTTCCTAAGTACACTTTAATTTGAATAAGTCATTCAAATTGTTTTTCATCTTAACAAAAATTTAAAATATGGATCTTATTAATAGTTAAATTTATATGTATAAAAAAAATTCATTTGTTGAAGATTTATTCTTTTATTTCGTCATTATTATTTTGTTATAATCTAATAATATAAAAAGGTGTCATTTTAATTAAATTATGAACTATGAAAAAAAAATTATATATATATATATTATTAATTTGTAATTGATTATAGTGTATAATAATATTTACCAATGTATATTTATTAAAAAAATATGTTTTTAGATTTTGTATTTTTTTTTCAAATTTGTCTATGTATTTGTGTTTTAAATTGATGAATTAACTTCTTAAACTTTTGAAAATATACTCATTATTTTAGTGTTTCTTCTTCGTATGTCAAATTAATATTTTTTACAAAAATTTTAGAATATTTAAATTCATATATTTTTAAAAAATTTAGAACTAATTATATTTTTTTAAAATATAGACATGCAAAATCAAGGTTAACAAAAACATATTTAACCATTAAATATTTGTTAGTTAAATAATTATATTTAATTAAAAAAATTAATTAATTGAATTATTGATAATACAAAATAATATTTTAATTTTAAAATAAGTAAATTGGAAATCAATTTCTTAAATAATATATTTAAAATAAAAATTTACTTAAATAAAAATATGTAAATTTGTTTAAATAAAAAATCAATACATTTATCTATGTAACTAAATCTATTTATTATTCTTACACAAAATCTTACACTAAATCAATACAATAAAAATTTTATATTTTTTAATTAGATGAATAATTGATTTATTATGAAAAAATATTTTAAAATTAATAATTTATGTTATGATAAATGAAATTATTTACTTTCAATCATAATTTTAAATAATTAGCTGATATTATTTTAGTTTTAATATTGATTTTAAGATATTTATATTAACATAATTTTATTAAATTTTAATATAGTAGTTTTAATTTAAAAAGTAAGCAAGACGGGAGAGAGAAAAATACAAAAGTGAAAAAAAAATATAAAGCAGAATAGAAAAATTACATATGGAACGTAAACAGATATACTTGACTAAATAAATTAATAAATATTTTAAATTAATAATTTTTCTTTTAAAAGAAATTATTTATAACATGATTCGTAATTTGCTTGGTAAAACTTTTTTTTCTCTTATAAATATTTATTATTTTCATTCTTTTATTTTATTTTTATTAAGAGACAATTGTTATTGACAAAATAATTAAAAAAATTAAATAACTTATAATATTAATTCAATTTTTTAATAAAAATTATTTATATAACTTGTATTTTTCTCGAATATTTATTTCAGCGTATTCTTATAATAATGCTTCAAAAATATATTTTGTAATAAGAAAAAAATGTAAAAAAAAAGGACAAAGATGAAACAGATTCATAAATATTTTTATTAGTTTAAGAGAAAAATGACGTGAAAAAGAAAGAAAGGGTTCATTTTAAAAATTAATAAATAATTAAATTAAACTAAAATATTTATTTAATTATAAAATTACTCATATAAATTTTAATTAATTAATTTTATTAATAAAATAAATTTATAAAATAATACTTTTAAATTAATATTTTTTTTTCATATATAATTATAAAATATTTTTCTATTATAAAATTATTATTTTTAATTAAACTAATAAAATAATTCATATTGTAAATATATAGTAAATTATTTATTTAATTTTTACAATCATTTTCATATTTATAATATTTTATTAAATAGTAATTATAATATATATATATATATATATACACGTATATTAAAATTAAATAATTTTTTTATTCTATATATATATATATATATATATATATATATATATATATATGAATGAAAAGTAAATATATAAATAAAAAGTGTGTCTTTTTACTTTTTTTAATTATCGAATAATTTTGTTTTATTTCATTACAATAATCACTTCCTATCCTATATTTTTATTTGAAATCAACAAAACCTAACATAGAAAATACATTTATTTGCTTTATGATTGGACCGATACCAACCATTGGGAAATATAAGGAGAAAACAAAATTAAAAGTATTTCAATTTAAAATTAGTGTTTACCAAATGTTTTGTGGACCTAAAACAATAATTTTATTTGGTATATGATTAGATGCACACTAACCATTAATAAGGATAAGATAATGAAGACAATTGAACAACAAGTGTTTCAACTTAGGGTTTTGCAGAATGTAACAGTTGCTAAAGATAAAAACAAATGTTTCAATTTACTGAAAAATGGGTAAACCCCCACGCGTTTTCACAAGTTCCCATACGCGTTTTCACAATGGTTAATGAGGTTGAGTGTACCTGAAACAAATACTAGGATTCACCTCGAACGTGGTTTCGAGAAAACAGTGAGCATTGTGGACCTTCATAATTAAACGTTTGAATTTGTCAAAAAGTTTGCGGATAAAAAGGTCTTTATATGCCCATTTTACGCGATGCTTTGCACATGCCGCTGTTCGGCAAAACTTTAAGCGCGTTTCTTACGTCAGTTCAGATATCAATCTTTGCTTTAACCTCTACCGTTTAGCATTAAAAACTGTGAAAAAAATAAACACAAAATTTATTACCATTGATGAATGCTTTTGTCAAGAACTTCACATGTAGACAAAAGCTTGGTGGGATATTATCTGTCACTGGCCACACAAGATTTGTTTTACTACGTTAGCTGTCACGTCTGTTAAAACGTTAGAACAAAGGTAGAAGTGAAAATTACTGTTTTACACTCTCTTTAATTGAAATCTTCTACTTTATAATTTTTCATTAAACATAGAATTTCTTATGTTTAAGGATTAGGTTTTTCTTTTTAAAATGGGCACGTGCTCGACTCCAATCATATCTATAACTCACGTGTTCTTGTTGGATTTTTTTTATGCTTTCTCCTTTTATTTGTTAGGGTCTGTTGACTACGAGGTCAAACACAGATAAAGTATATTTGAAATCAATTATAATTTATTTTACATAGTTTATAGTTAAATCTTGAACTCTTAATCAACAATATATTTATTCACTACTTATAATTGTTATTGAATGATTTATAAATTCTATTAAATAAATTATTTTATCTTATAAATATATTATTGAACTATAATATAAAGCTATTTAAATAGTTTACCATTTTTAACTAATACTTATATTAATTTATTTAATCTTTTGTGTAACAATATTTTTTAAATTAATTTTTTTGAACATACATCAAATAAAATAATTTTTTACTAAAATGTGTAAATAACATAACTATTTTTTAAGTTTTAATTTTTAGAGTAGCCTCAAGAAAAAAGAAGTATAAAAAAAATTGGGTCAAACCATTCTATAAATCCAATATTGCTAAATTTGAACACTTTTTTTTCCTCATATGAAAGGAATTGTTTTCTCTGCAATCATAGTTGCTGATGAAAATCACTAAAAGGATAAAAGATCGTGACGAAGCTAATAAACCAAAATAGAAAATAACTTGGGTTTAACGTCCTCAAATATCATTGCGAGATAAAATATTACAACACAAGCAAGGTCTATGTTGGAAACAAAAAGGATCTTTGGCTCATAAGCTTGTGACAAGCAACATATAGATGGTATTAGTTATTACAAAAGGTTTACTTTGATGATAGAGTTTTTCAAGAGCTTTGTAGTAAAAAAATGTTTCAAGAATGGCATTTTCATATGAATTTATAACATATGATTAAATTTCCTTTTGTTATATAAATGATCAAAGATTCTGGAATTTGTATATGCATTACATGTCTCTTAGGATTGAGAAGCTAAATCTTCATTTGCCTACATGTAAAACACTATGTCTTTTACCTTCAATTATACATTTTCATATTAAATATAAGATAAACTATAATTACAAATATTCAGTGTCAAAGTCATATAATAAAGCTATCATATGAGCCCTATACAAAAGAATACATCATTTTTCAAGAAATAGCCATCAACAAAATACATGTATCTTTTAGGTTGCTTCACCTCCTCATCATATTTATTCAATCTAGAAAATGGAAACTAAACTTATTAAATGATGTCTCAGTGACTGCTATAAACATGCAACCATGTATACATACTGCATAAATCCTCCTGAAACTTGTAACAAACATACTCATGAGTTTCTAAATATGTAACTATGCATGTTTATGATTGATTTTTCCTTGTTTCCTTCTTTGGGGGAACATTGAGCTCAAGTTCTCGGAGGTGTCCCCCATCTATGTCATGACAGTATACTGTTATCCTATTTTTAGTGTAAGGAGACATCAACCTCTTATATACCGTCCTTAAGTCTGAGAAATACTTTAACATTCATTCATAAGCATTTAACATCATTATGCACTTAGAAACACCTACAAAAAAAAAAAAAAAAGCTATTTTGGGGAATACGAACATGACTAAAATACATATTACTGTGAGGGACTCGCAAATAGGGCTGTCCAAGCTTAGAGTTGAATCCTGATGCTTAGTGCTGTTCCACAGGGGTTCCACACTTGCTCCCTAGAATTCCCTATGCATTACACTCAGCGCCTGTGATTAGTTTTTAGTTTTCTCTTCGTGCAGAGACGCTCAGGGACTTCAGGGTACCTCTGTAAGGTCCCACACTCAGCGTAGCCTAGGTGTGTTTAGAAACCTTAGAGCCTTCAGCTGAGTCTCCAGAAGGCTTTGCACGGCATCTTAGGCACCAATCCCAAGTTTTAAACAATTCATTAATTGGTCTCAACAACAAAAAAACCATGAAGTGTGGTGCAGACAATGAGGTTCCAATGTAGTATAACATAAAACCCTATAGTATATATAACATGGACTCAGAGTTCTTATATTTCTGCTCATCAAGTTTCAAAGGCTGCAAAGGGTGAAAAGTTTCATTTGCACCCATCTATTCAAGTCCCCATGAATATCAAGCATGGTGAACCTAAGCATCTGGAACAAACCCATTTGCGTCCATTAAAAGAGTTCTCATTTTTCTGAAACTTATAACAAGCATGTTAGTTTAACTTAAATCTCATCAAATATGTAATTTTAATTAAAACAAATATTTGGATGAAAAAACATAATTTAATGACAAATAATTTTTGTCATTCAAAATTGAAAGTCTCAATAAGAAATTTAATCATTTTTATTACCAATATAGTCATAACTCGACTTTTGTAAATAATCTATTTGCAAATTAATTGTTGAAGCCTTTTCAAGTTGTAAACTTTAGAAACCAATTAGCGATTGATTATAACTTTGTTAGATATTGTATGTAAAGAATAAATTGTCCTGTAATCATTATTTAAGTTGTAGTTTGACTTCTATGATTGAATTAGAGACTAATTTTAAAATCATTTTCACATTTTAATATCTTTTTTTTTCCAACATTCTTATCAAAACCTATTTACAAGTACCAAAAGCTTGCCAAAATCATTGTTGAAAGTAATTTATGTAAATAAATTCAATTAATTCAAATTTTTAATCAAAGAAAATTATGTGATTAACACAATTTTATTCAGTGATGAATTAAGTTATTTTAAATGAGTAATTTCCAAGCAATTATACCCTAATTTATTTTAAAAAGTTATGTCTTCATTAACATAAAATATATAAGAGTATCTAAAGTTGTTTATTGAAATGGTTAAATAAAATATAAAAAAATTCATTGCTCAATTTTTTCAAACGTAATGTAAACAACCTTAATATATTGTTTATTTTTTTTATTGATGGAGATAAAGTGAAATAAGATAAAAAATAATAATATAAAAATCTAATAAATTGATTGTTAGATGGATGTTTAGAAGTGGTTTGTCAAGGTATTATAACCCAATAAAATTTCAGTTGCTCAGGACATTTTCAAAGAGAATTCTTAAGAATAAATATGAATATTTTATTATAAGTTTCATATATGAGTTGTTTTTATTAGTAATTTTTTTTTCTAATTTTAAACAATTTTCTCTAAATAATTCTAATAAATCTATAATAAAATATTTATTTTTATTTTTAAGTAACTTTGGTTAGTAACACCATTGAAAATATTCTTAAAACAACTTGTACGTGAGAAATCTTATGTGATATAATAAATACTAAATTTTTTTGGTAATTGCTTCGTCAAATAATTTATAAAATAAACAAATAAAAGTAAACGAGAATAAAGAATAGGAAAGATGATGAGTTTTTTTTTCTAATGTAGAAAGCAATTAAATAATGAGTTAATAATGTGTAATCATAAATTTCTCTTTTACATTGATAAGAATAATTTATATGAGTTATTCTTAAAAGTAGATGTTCTAATTCTTTAGTTAAATTTTTCATGTAGAAACAAGTAAGATATTTATTTCTTTTCTATTTTCAATTAAATAAATCAATATTGTAATAAATACGATCAACACAAAAAGATTTAAAAAAAATCAAACATTTAAAGAAATTGAATAAAGAAATACAAACAATAAGCTATCAAAAACAATGTTTGAAAGATTATCACTAGAAATTTTCTACTTTAGTACTTAATAATATTGTAAAAGATTATGTATTATAGAGTTAATTATTATTAAAAAAATCAATGTCTTATAATCTTATGCGAAAATAATCTTAAAAGCAAATAATATGTCTTGGTAAATTATGAACTTTCAACCAATACTAAAAACTAATCTCTCCAAATATGCTCCTTCTATTATACGTTTCCATACTTACGAATCAATAGAAAAAGATAAAAATAAAGTAAAACTATTGTTTACTTGTGAAAATAAATTAAATGTAGTTAATTATTACAAGTATATATTTAATGAAGTGAAAAATGTGAGTCTGAGTTGTTCTCTTGTCAGTTACCTACAATTAAAAGTTTACCCACATCAACCTCAGATTTCTACTATAAATATCTTTCTAGGGTTAGGGGTCTTCATACCCATCGTACAAGAAGTTGTACTCTCTCTCTCTCTTGGTTGATCTTTTTCTCTCTCTTCATATATCTAAGATTTCCATGTAACACAGGCTATAATTGGATTCTTCACTAACAGATTTAACATCAACTTTGCAGGGTTTGAAGGTACTGAATTTGAAGGGCAACACACCATGATGAGGAGAGTGACTTTGAGAACAGAGCCTCCTCGGAGATGCCCAAACAACAATACGGTGACGATTGTGAAGAATGTTCAAAATGGAGAGTGCCAAAGGAATCACGCAATTAAGATGGGAGGATTTGCTCAGGATGGTTGCATGGAGTTCCTCCCAGGTGGAGCAGAAGGAACTGCCAAAGCTCTGATTTGTGGTGCATGTGGTTGCCACAAGAACTACCATAGGAGGGAGATCCATATACATGTTACTTGTCAATGTGCTTCTCATCCTAATAATGGACAAGCCTGAAGACCATAATGTCTTCTATATCTAAACAATTATGTAAACCCTCTATGATGTCTTTTCTGTGGGCTTCTTCTTCTTATTTAGTTCTTGTCGTTTTCAATTTTAGCTTAATAGTGTTGTGATGGACTAGTATTCCTGATATCTGCACTGATATATGGTTTCATGAATAATGTTTGCAGCAAAGTTAATAAGATCTTTTATTTATGGGAAGTGCAAAGTTGATGGATCATAAAATTTTGCTCTCATCGTACATACCTTTTATATATTAATAAGATCTGCCCCTTCTTCTTCCCCTTCCAACTTTTAAAACAAACATTTTTATCAAAAACACAATACAAAGGTACTTAAAATCATTACATCAATCTTTTAGTGAATCCTACACTTGAATTTCTGTTCCTCTATGACACCTAAATCTGTGTTTCTCCATTTTATCTTTTCAAAGCAATTTCCCATTATGAAAGATGATAATTATTCTACACCTTATTTTAGATAGTAAAGGTAAAGGAAAAAAAAAAAAAGGAAGTGAAAAATGAAGAAGTTAAACATATATATCATATTAACTTTAATATAATAATAATATATATTTATTACTTAAGACTTTTTTATATATAATAACTCCATCAATTATTTCATACAATAAAAAAAATGTAATTTATGATCAGATAGGTCAAGTCATCACTAAATAACTTATATCCAATTTTGTTTCAACAAAAAAAATTTTAATTTCTGTCCTTAGGCATCTTTAACGGAAATATGAGTTAATTCAAATATAAAAAGATATGATTTGTGGTTCTTACCGGTAAACAAGTTCAATTAATATTCTAATAAAATAAAATATGTTTTTTTTCCTTATGCATCTTTAACGTAGATAACTCACATGAATTACTCGTGACATATCATGTGATTTGTGGTTCTTATTATACTAAACAAAATTAATATGGTATTCAAAAAATTATATTTTACGCTAAATAATTTTTTTTTTAGAAAAATTTAAATGATTTTTTTTACTCTTGTCTAATAAAAAAAATATCACATGATCATATTAATAAATTAGTGTAATGTTGATGTATATAACAAAATGTAAATCACATCATCACATATTATATATATAATATTAATCAGTTGTAGTAGTTTGTGCAGAATATTTTTCATAAGAATTATTTACCGAGGTGTTTCTTTAAATAAAATATTAATTATTTAATCTTATATAATATAATAAATTATTATTTTTATAGTTTTATCAAGCCATTTACTAATGATCAAATTATATTAAATTGAGAGAGAAAAGAAGAAAGAATAATTTTTAAAAAAAAATTAAGTTGTTTAAAAATGATATAATATCATAAATATTTATTTTATATTTTTTAAAATAAGAAGATTAACGTGAGTTACTTCTATTAAAAATATCTAGTATCACACTACCTTTTATTTAAAAATTTAACGCTTGGTCCAAAAAAATAATTGATTTTATTTTAAAAGAAATTAAACCCAAATTAATATTAAAAATAATAGCATAAAATTAATAAAAGGATAAAAAATATTTAACTTATTTTTTTATTAATCCTTCTAGAAGAAACATATCTCACTATAAAGAAAGTCAATGCATCACGTAAACTTTATTCAATAGATTTCCTTGACAAACTATTTCTTCAAAGTTTTTAGTCTCCAATAAACTTATTCTTTTGGTTTTTAGTATAAAGAACTTTATCTAAGTCGCTTTATTTCTCCTTCTCCGTTTAATGCCCTATTTAAAGTGTTTTAGGATGAAAATCAGTAAATAACTAGAGACAAAAAAGTTTAAAATATACTGCAAATAAAATTGTTTATTGCGACTACAAATAAATTTAAATTAAGTTATATTTTTCCCTATTTAATATTATATTATTCATTTATTAGCATTAAAACCAAACTATTATACTTTATATTATCATTAATTTATAATTGGTGGTTTTTATCGATTTTACATTTTTGGAAAATAAATAATTACTATTAACTTCAATATTATTAGTGTGCATTTATTAATTTATGTGTATTGACATATGATATAATTATGTTGCATTTATGAATTTATTATCAGTAATTAATATTCAATTCTTATTTTACATTTATTACTTGTGATCATTGACTTTTGAAGATATGACCACTTGTGTCAACATCATGTCTCACCACATGCAACATCACTTTAGATGATGACTCACATCTTCAGAGGTTGCAATTGTAAAAGAAACTATCTAACTCAATGTGAGTTTCAATTTACAATGGGCCGAGCTATGAAAGCTCAAATTCAATTTCAGCCTCTAAAAAGTAAGCCCAATTTTGTAATTCACAAATTTTAAATATAAATCTCCAAAATTATTTTGTTTGATGATAAATTATCGATTTTTTTTCTAACAAAATAATTATTTTTTATATGTGTCAAAATTTTATTGTAGTTTTAGTCCCGTAAGTGTAATTTAAATCACTTTACTTTACTGTTCAAACTGTTTTCTAAAGTACTTTTGATAATTTATCGTAGATTAAGAACTACATGTTTAAGTCCAAATATAATAATATATTGATAGTTTTTGCTTGTCTGATGTCATAATTAAGGGAAATTTTTGAAGTAAAGTTATTATATTGATGGAAAACGAAGAAATTTATGTGAAATATAAAAAGTATTATATTTTCGTTTCTTAATTTCTCCAATGATAATTATCTATTACCTTTTGTAAAATATTCTCTTCTTTTTCTTTCTTTGTTTTATGTTTATTATAAAAAATCTTTATTTAATTAGCCAAGTATACATAGCACTCTAAAAAAAATATAATAATTTTATAATATTCAAGGATATCAACAAAGACAAGTTATGGAATTAATGCACAAATAAAAAAAAATGTAGCATTTGCAACGGGGACTTAACTCGTATCCACGACATTATTTTAATTTATTAAATGAACCATTAAAGTCAAATAAAATATCTTGTAACATATTTTTTATTAGCATAATGTCTTTGTTTCTCAAACTTATTTGCATGTTGTTTTAGCCTTTCGTGCGTCTTTTGCAACTAGTTAAGTCAGTCTCACTGTACAAGTGCTTTGGCTAAAGAAAGTGAGAAAAAAGAACTTGAAGGAAAAATGCTTCTATTACTCAAATTCTAGTACAAGTGAGCTCTCAATGCGTGGATGGTTTGCAAATGAGGGGATCTACTCTATTTATAGACACCTCCTCCTTTAAGAAACTCTCTAGATTCTTCAAGGGTCTTGGGATTTCTTGACCATTTCACAAAAATCCTACTCTTTCTACACATATCGTAGAACCTTCTACACTACTCAAGATGATTCTTGCCCTATCTACAAGTCTCTACAAGGTTCTAGGATGTTCATGTTCCTACTACAAGTATTTACATCGTTCTAGAGTCTTCTAGAAGCTTCCAGTCAAAACTAGGTCTTTCTAAAGGCTTCTATGTACAAATAACTAGGCTTAGTGATAGCCTAGTGGGGAAAAAGGGCGAGCAAGACTCGCATGCATGCGGGAGATGCTACGGGACATTACATTCTCCCCCACATATTGTGGCGCCATCCTCGTCGCCTCATAATCTTCGAGGAAATCTCGGAATTGTCATAAGTCCTCATCGAATTCTCATGATGCTTCGGACGTTGGGTGCCCCTTCTACTTGATTAGGTACCGTTTCTTTGGCGATATCTCTCGTCGTCGTATGATGTCTGATGTGAGCACCTCATCCACTTCCTTTTCGAAAGACTTGGTTGTGAGTGGCGATGCTCTTCGTGACTTCCCTCGATTTGAGTTTTTCACATCCTTCTTGTAAGGCTTTAACATGCTCACGTGGAAGACTGGATGGATCTTGATTGTGGGTGGGAGATCGACCTGGTAAGAAACATTTCCTATCTTCTTAATCACCAAGAACGGTTCCTCATACCTTCGTATTAGTCCCTTGTACAAGCTCCGAAAGGTTTTAAATTGTTGGGACAATAGCTTCACAAGGACTAGGTCGCCTTGGGAGAACTCTCGCGAACGCCTCTTTGTATCGGCCCATTTCTTCATTCTTTTGCGGGCCCTCTCCAATTATGAGCGAGCTAAGTCCGCTTGCTCCTTCCAAGTCTTGACCATCTTCTCGGCCCGGGACTCTTTCCATCCTTAGTAGGTATGACGATTGTGTGTGGAGTCAGTGGTTGTCGTCCCATGACCACCTCAAATGGGCTTCGCCCAGTTGATTCACGCCTCTACAAATTATAAGAAAATTAGGCCACATCAAGCAACTTGACCCAGTCCCTCTGGTTAGCACTCACAAAGTGCCGTAAATAGCACTTTAGTAGTGCGTTCACTCTTTCGGTTTGCCCGTCGGTCTGGGGGTGGAAACTTGTTAAGAAGTTAAGTTCGGTACCAAGGAGCTTGAAAAGTTCCGTCCAAAGTCGCCCAGTGAAACGTGGATCCCTATCACTGATAATGCTCCTTGGTAGTCCCCAGTGCTTGACCACATTCTTGAAAAATCTGCGGACGACCTCCTCGTCGGTACAGTCCTTGGTGCATGGGATAAAGGTCCCATACTTTGAAAATCAATTCACCACGACCATTATTGACCCGCATCCCTTGGACTGTGGTAGGGCGCTAATGAAATCCAACGTGATCGACTCCCATGGTCCTGCAGGTATCGGTAATGGCTCGAGTAGTTCCGCCGGGTGTTTGTTTTCGACCTTGTCTTGTTGGCACACGAGACAGGTCCTCACATAGGCTCTGATACCACTTGTCACGCCCTTGTTTTTCGAACTTGGTTGCGTGCGACCTTAGTCTCTCGTGTGCCCTTCGCAACTAGCTAAGTCAATCTCACCTTGCTCGGGATCATGCTTGGTGTGTGCAAGTGTTTTGGCTAGAGAAAGTGAGAAAAAATAACTTGAAGGGAAAATGCTTCTATTACTCAAATTCTAGTACAAGTGAGCTCTCAAGGCTTTGATGGTTTGCAAATGAGGGGGCCTCCTCTATTTATAGACACCTCCTCCTTTAAGGAA